TCATTTCTCCTTTATCTTGTAATTAGATCATTATTAGTTATTTATATTATTATTATTATATTATTATTTGTTATTATTATAATTAATTTCTTTTTTTTTGTATATTAAGAATTTTAAAAATAAATCTGTATAATTATTTAATGTCGAGATGGGATTTCAAACGTACATTTTGAGAAATTGGGAAATATGTATCATTGAGCAGATTTCAAATTCACAAGGTTATTATTGTGAGGAGAAGGTTAATTTTAAACACACATAGAGAGGAAGGTGAGAGATCCCAAGTGGAGCGTTAGGATAGTAGTTATTACTTCCTGTGACCTTTAGTATGCCACATGCGAGTGACTAGTGCTGCAAACAGAATTTCAAGTTTAAAGAACCGTTTTATATTTGATGTTTTCCCTCGGAGATTAGTTAGTATATACTAATATACCCTGTAAAAAGTTCTCGAGGTGTATGTTATATGTAAATAAATACAGTAAATATCGATATGTGTATGAACGAGTTCGATTTCACTTCTACATATTAATCATCTATTAATGAATGGTTATTTCTATTTGAGTTTAATTTTATGTAAAGAGTATTAATTAACAATCGCGATTTCGAATTTTTCTTCCCGAAAAACAACTAACGAACCGACATCTTTATCTTAAAACAATTAAAAATAATATATGGATTATCAAAGTAAAGCTTGATTTCGCACTTTTTATTTGGATTGAATTCATCACTTTCATTCGAGGTTTTGTTAATCTTGGAATAAAAAAAAAGTGATGAATATTTGTCCTTTATATTGTCACCTCACGTAAAATGCATCCACTCATTTGGACCAAATAAAAATATTATTAGCAAAAAACAGTTTGATGTGAGTTTCATGATGAATTCTTAAATGATACTAACTAAAGAAGGATATTACTGATTTTATAATTATTTTTGATGTAATGTTTCTCGATAATAAGCATTACAAGTTATCTAAATCAAGTTGATGAGAATTACAATTAACATTTGCTAATAATTTGAATTGACAGGTTGAGAAAAGATTTGGTATAACTGGATGAACTATTGCTGTAATTATTGAGGGATCGGATTTAACCCATCCATTTCATAAAAGTAATTACTAATTGAACCAATACCACAACCAAAAAATGTTACTATGTATCAAACTTCAATAACATCATAAATTTCTTCGGAGTACACGCAACTTATACGCTAATCCAATATATATTATTATTCCTCCACATACTGTCCTGTCAAAAAGTGGTCAGTTTTCATTCTGAAGATTACATATATAAAATTCGATTTTATGATTATTTTGAAAAATTTAAAATACATTTTAAAATTCTACATGTGTGATAATCTAAAATCTTTTATTGCGCGATTCTATTTCTTTTTTTAAAAAAAAATTCCTAACCAGAAGATTTTAATCCATTCTCGCATGGACTAATTTTGTCATGCAGTTTAAAGATCTAAATTTATATGTAAATAATTCAAAATGACATTTTCTCTGAAAGTTGATTTAATAAGAAGATACAATAGACAGAATGTTTATTAGGATGACTTAAAAAGATACTGCTAAGAATTCTCGGTGAAATTTCAATTCCTCCGATCTCTATTACTATTACCAAAAGCTGAGAAAATTGGCGTATTATCACATGATTTATATATTTGGAACCTTGCATGTGGTTTTTTTAAAAATAGCTCTATTATTGGCTGAGTTCTATTCTTTTTTAGTTCATATTTTACTATTATTCTAAATTTAGACTCGTGTGTTATCGCGTAAAAAAATATTTTTATGTAGAAATGGCGAGATTCGTTTTTAAATCCATACTTGATATCTCAAAATCACCTAATGAAACATTTCACAGTTTTCTTTATCAGGAAAGCATTTCTGTATTTTTTGGGGGTATTGCAAATATATAATTTGATTTTTTTCAATTTCAGAGCCCAGATTTGCTAAACCTTACATAATGATTAACTATTTATTTGTTTTGGAATAAATTAAATTATGATAAAAAAATTTTTTTTAGAAATATCCTTTTTTTGAATGAAATATGCAATTTACAAATATTCATTCAAATAGCATACTGGATCCATGAATTTAATTTGATGGTTGAATACGTTAATAAATATGTAAATAATTTACTAGAAAAATCAAAAGGTATTGTTTAGGGTGAAATATTTAAAAACACAATAAAAAAAGGATGAAAGAAACGAGTTTTAAAAGTTGACAATTTCCAATTGGTTGCCTACAAACGAAGTTTTAAATGATTCAATTTTGGCATGAGGTACACGAGATTTGTCCACTTTGTGCAGTTTTTTGATTATTTCAAAGAAGAATTGCAAAACCATTTTTAAACACCACAAAATCGTGACGCGTTGGAGCAATGATTTTATTTCAGATGAAAAACTATGATAGCCATTGCAAATTTTTACGTAAAACCCCTTTCGCTTAGTACGTAAGTCATGCCTATTTGAATTTCAATGACAAAGTGCAGTAAATGAAGAATCCAGATATATATATACACTATGGGTGGCCAAAATGGAACCTTTATGCAAATTTTGTAATCCCCGTCTGACCAAACCAAAGGAATTAAAATAAAAATATTTTAAAAGCAGAGGGTACCAAATTAACTAATAGAGTGGGCGAATTTCAAGTTTTTTAAAATTTATCACGTATACAATTTTAGCCAATAAAATTTAAGAAAATCTTTGTGATACGAATGGGAAATATCACGTGGAAATATTTTTAATCGACGAAAATTTTACCTTACCACATATTAATACTAACAAAAAAAAATCCGGCTGCAACGAATTACTCCTTTGACCATTTTTGGTATCCAATAATAGTTTAAAAATAGCAATATTTGTTGATTATTGGCTTTAATTCTTCCAAAAAAACAAATTGTAGTTTTGAAGCCAAAGCATTTCTCTACATATATCATGTCACTATGAAATTAAAGCTCAAAATTATACGAGTTTGTCACACGTAGGGATGGGGACGGTTTATGTCACGTCCGGCGACGAATAATATTTTTATAATTGATCCGTGACGATTAATTACTAAATTATAAGTGACAATTAATTTGTCTTGTTTTGGCAATATAAATGTCACCTGTAATTTAGTATATTAATCGTCACGGATCAATTATAAAAATATTATTCGTCGTCGGACGTGACATAAACCGTCCCCATCCCTAGTCACACGCAACTTTTTTAACTCACACTCACGTGATCATAACATATATTGCTGATCCTTTGTTGACTAAAAATGTTATCATAATAATAATAACAATAATAACTCGTTTTGGGTTTGGGAGGATCATAACTTTAAAATTTTCGTTTTCTCAAAATTGGCGCTGTGGTACAGAAAGTTGTGTAGGTGAACTAAAAAAATATTTTTTATATGAACAAGTATGCTAAAGGAGAAAGATTAAAATTTTTTGAAATTAGTTTGGTTGTAACGGTTTTTGATTAATAAAAAGTTCATCAAATGCATTGAAATATATGGGTCAACCATTTACAAAAAAAAAATTGATTGGTGTGGCTTTTGACTCTACTACTAAAATTGTTTTCTGGACGCGGTTCATCCAAGTGTGGCGTATTCAAGGGTCATGTTTAACATTAAAGTTTCCAAACAGTTATTTAGCCTTTTTTAGAAAATTTCTGACGATCAAAACTGGGATTCCTGTATTAGTATTTTCATAGAAGAGATTGGAATTGTATAATTTAAAAACATCCGCCATTTTACTGATTAGTTTTATTCTTATCTTCTTCTATGGCGAATTCACTTAGATGAGATAAGATGATTGAGCGCAATTAAAAAATAAATATACCGAATTATTAAATAACCTGTTTTTAATAAACAATTAATATTAAACAATGTAATTTGTATATTTTGGCCTTTGTGTACCCATACCTTAAAAAATTATCTATTTATATTTATTTATACAGTATCATATTTTCTCTTCCTTGACTTAATTCTTTCGAAAACATCCCTAGACAAAGTAGAAAGTTGTCTAAAGAAATCAAACCACCAAATTAATTAACCAATATTTTCAAAGAATAGTTAAAAGATGTATCGTCGAAAAGAGATGAGGAAGGTGAGGCGATGAAGTTTGTTAAAAAAAAAAAACAAAGAAACGAGTAAAAAAATGTTCTACTTTATGATTATAACACTGATTAGCCAATGATGTGACAAAGGATTAGAAATTGTTGAATATCTAACGGTCGAACGATAACGCGTTTTGAACCTATGCGTCTTGAAACATGTGCATAATTCTATTTTGCTTTCAAATATTAGCACCTTAGTCAACTTTGGACCATATACCCTTCTTAGCTACATTGTATTCGAAATGCTTTATATTAGTTTATTTTTCTAAATATCAAAAGTTCACGTCTAATAAAAATTTTGATTATGAAGATTATGAAAAATGGGCTATTTTGCAGCGTATATACTTGATACGCTTGCACGCCCCGTCTTTGTTTGTATATAATATTAAAAATGGATTTGAATATTGTATTCGGTAGATAGGTAGATGCCATGAATATCATATAAAAAATTTCTAATTAACCACCAACATATTTATATAACTAGAGTACAAAAGGAGTTACTCTGAAAATAAACTAAATCATCCATATCTACTGATTATAACAAATTCATATTTAAAATTTATTGGATAATTGGGTAAATAGAATTATTATATATTCCCTATATGTGGAACACATTCACGTCGCGAGGCTATTTTTGATCATCAAAATAAACGGGTTGAGATATATTGGTATTAATATGTAGTTGACATGGTTTTCGTTATTTCCAAGTAATTAATTGTAACAAATAAAGTTTCTATATTTCTTTTATATATATATTAATAGGTAAATAAAAGAGCTTTACATATATGTTTCTGTAGAATCATGAAAATATCAATGCTAATAGATTATAAAAAAGTTGGAGAGAATAAAGGATGGAATAGATATCATTACAATAAAAGTGACCTCACGTATTTTTTTTTTTTTTTTCATAAAGGAAAAGGACATTAGGATTAGTGTGATCAAATTAGAACAATATATTTTCATTTGTTTATTTATTTTTTTTGTTTATTTTTTTGTAAAAAAAAATAAAAAAAGTAAGTTTATAATTTTTTCTAAAGGAATGTAATAAATGACATAATAAAAAAATTTTTTTTTTGCGATAAAATAGAATAACATATAGATCAAAAAAAAAATTGCTAAATTAAATAAAAAAAAAAAAAATTTGTCATAAATATTATCCTTAGAATTTTTTTTTGGTTTTCTTCGTCAGTTTATTATTTATAATCATGTATATTATATTTTTTTCTATTTTTTTTTGATCCAAATTCTATTAAATAACAAAAAGAAAATTTATCATATATATGTACGCCTTTACTAAAAAAAGGAGATTATATTATATAATAGCTTTATATATATAACTCTATAATCGATATATGTAATTAATATATATAAATACGTATACACTCAATATGTATAATAAATAAATATATATATAATATATGAATGTCATCTTTTCTCTCTCTCTCTCTCTCTCTCTCTCTCTCTCTCTCTCTCTAAAAAAAGAAATCATCGATGATAATAATATATTTTATATATATATAAATATATATATATATATAAAGATGTGTAATTATAATATGATATGTAAAAAAAAAACTAAAATTATAATATAAATATAAATATAAATAATTAAATAATAAATAAAAATAAATAAATTGCTATGTCCGCAATTATTATTGTTGTTGGACCTTTCTTATTTTTACTAATGTGCAACATAAAGAACGTCTTGCTCTTGGCCTTTTTTAATGTTGGCTGCTTTTGAATGTGAACCACAAGCTCCGGATTTTGTCAGGTTTGCTTCGAACCGAGAGGATGTATGTAATGTTCTCTATACTATTACTACTAATATTAAATATTACTATTACTAACTACTATAGTAATATATAATGACGACTGTAAATGTTCATTAAAAAAAATATATATTAAAAAAAAAAAAATAATAATTGTTTTTTTTTTGAGGTTTTTTAGACACCATTTTCCAATTTTTTTTATATTATTATTTTTCTTTTTTTTTTAATTTTCTCTTTGATTTTCCATTTTCTTTTAATTATCATTTAATTTGATAATATTAATATTGAATCCTTTCTATTTTTTGCCCAGATTAACTTTTTTCGTTGTTGGGTTTTCCGACTTGTATCTGTCCATATTCAGGAAGAAGTTTGTATTCTCCTGGATAGCCCATGCCTTCTGTTCCTATTGGACCACAATAATCTGAATAATCATCTGTGAATACTTTTTTATTCAATAATTGATTTTGATAGAAATAGAAATAATTATATATATATATGATAATATTAGTATTTTAATTTAAAAACAAAAAATAAATAATAAATAAATTAATTAAATTATTTTAATAACATTACATGAAAAATCCTCTCCATCAGAATCATAGAGTATGAAATCATCTTTTGGTTCAACCAAATGTTCGTGAATAATAATGTTTGTATTAGCTGACGGAATTTTTGTTGGTATTGTTGTTGTTGTTGGTGGTGTTGGTGTTGTTGTTGTTGTTGGTGGTGTTGGTGGTGTTGATTTTGAATCTGAAACGGGTGTTAATGGTAAAGATTTACGTAAAAGAGGTGGAGCTTCTTCGCTGGAAAGTTCAGCGTTACAATCTTTTGGAGTTAGAGCTGACATTATTTATTCCACCCCGAAGAAAGAATTTTACAAGTTAAAAGTTCAAGAACCAACTAATAATAGTAGTAGTAAGTGAATAACAATAATAATGAGAATTAAAAAACAAAAGAAAAGAAATTATTGAACCATGGACTTTTTAGATTGGTTCTTTTTATTTTACTTTTCAATTACTACTACTACTACTGCCAAATTATTATATAATTTTATTAATTATTATTTATTATAACTTTTCAATTTCATTAATTAGTTACTAATTAATTAAATAAATAATTACCGTTCTTGTAAAGTATTTGTTAATGTCGTCGAAAGAAATTTTCATAAAAAAATTGAAACTAAAATTTTTATTTACACTAGATTTTATTTTTATCAAATATATATATATTTATAATAAAAAGAATATTTTTTTATTTTTTTTCTAGTAGCTTTTTTGATTGGTACAACATAAATATTAAAATATATACATTTCATTTTATTTTATTTATTTTGCAAACATTTATTTTTACCCATTTTTTATTAATTTGGCAGTTTATCAATAAATGCTATTAGTGCTTTTCCTTATTTCTTTCACTCACTACATTATTTTTTTATCAATTAATCAATTAAATATTATAAACAATATTTAAAATGATGTATTTTTTACCATTATCAAGTTATCAACAACAGATATATTAATTTTTTTTTTGTAATAATGGATGAAAATCGTTTCCTTTTCAAAAATTCAAGAATTAATTTTTGTGGCGGCGGCGAATGCAAAAAAGTAAATAATAATAATAAAAAAAAAATAAAATAAAAAATAAAATGAATGAATTAATTAGGATATTCATAAGACAAAAATAAATAGTAATGCTTCGAATTTTTCTTTTCCTTTTAATTTCCTTTCATCAACTTCTTATTCTGATATTTGCACACACTCGCCCCGATATCAAAATATGATGTTTTTTTATTACTAATTATGAGTACACAACAATAATCAATAGAATATTATTGACACAAAGAAGAACGGAATTCATTGTCCGTTGAGAGGGTACGTCATCCAATTATTATTTTGGAAAAAGATTTTCAAGAATTTTTTTTCTGATTTTTCTTAAAAACAAAAAATAATTAAATAAATACGTGTGTGTATATTTACATATATACCGATATATAAACAAACATTTTAACCACGTAAACGTGAATTTGTGGTTTTGGTTTACGTATTATTGTTTGCTGGGCATTTTTGATTTTTTACGTCATGTGAATTAGAATTCAGTTGGCGAGATAAGAAATAAATTCGAACAAACAAACAAATAATAATAATAATAGTAATTATAGCATATAAATATTGTTTTTGATACGACTGCGTAATTGCAAATATGCACTAATTATTTATAAATATAATCAATCGTACGTACATGATAATAAATTTTATTATTATTACAGTAATAGTAACTGCTATGAATTAATTTTGCGTAGTTATAAAATAATATAAGTGATTTCTTATAAGTAGTAGGAACAAGTTTAACTCTCTAAATATAATTCCAACTGTATTTATTGGTTCCTCTGTTTCAGCCATAAGTTCCAGGTTCCCTTGGCTTCCCTTGTCTGCTTTCTTTATTCCTTCTTTTATTATTTCTTCTGTTATCATTTCCACAGACTACTTTATTTATTTCTTCTTGTATTTATCTACCGTTTTCTTTGTTTCTTTTTTTATTTACTTTTTGCCTCTTCTTTTAATTTTTTTGTTTCCTTTTTCATGTATTCTCCCCAAAAAGTTTATTTAAAAATGTATTTCGGAATTTTCATCCGTTTCTTTTGTATTTCATCTCTTTTTTTATTGGCTGCTTTAACTGTTTTTTTTTGTATTCGATCGACTGCTGTAACTGTTTCTTTTTGTATTTTATTAACTATTTCATCTGTTTCATCTTGAATTGTTTCGACTACTTATCTGCGTCTTTTCTTTTTTTAATTGCTCTTTCTTCTTTTCGGATCAATGTTCGAGGACTCTTTTTTAGTGTTCCCAGAATGTTTATCCGCTCATCTTTGTATTACATCGCATGCTTTATCTATTTCTTTTCGTACTCTCTTGATTCTCTTGACCGCTTTAACAGTTTCTTTTGTCCCATCCAAATGAAACTTCGGGAATCCTTTTTTGAAACAATTAAAAAAATCCAATTTCTCCGGAATCTTCATTCGATAAAATAAAACAAAAGCATGCCAACACCCAAAAGTGTAATTCCAAAGATCAATTTTGTGATCAAAACTGGTCTAGGTAAACAGATATTGGATCATAAACTTTTGATAAATCATCAAAGTCGAGAAAATGAATAAACATGTCATCTGTGATAAACGTTTGTAATTATCATTATTTGGAAATTTTTGCGCATAGACAATAGTACACAATAAAATAACAAACGGGATTACGATTAAAAATTGTAATGTTTTGTATTAACTATTCCAAATGCTGTCCACCAAGCAATGTTGTAAATAAAAAGCAAAAACGATCCCATGTAAACGCTGCTGAATACTGGTATTATTATACGTTCACGCATTTTTAAATGTTGCATGATACCAAAAAATAATCGCATAAGCCAAATTGACAAAGAAAAGGAAAATAATTAGACACTTTTGTAACATTGCGGTCAAATGTAAAAAACGCATAAGCAAGACAAAATGATAAAATCATCTACAAAATAAACGATTGTACCAAACCAAGGTTTTTTTTCAGTAATATAAACCAACAAAATAATCAGAGGTAAGATATTATAAAAAAGGAAATCATAGATATCGGAATAACAATCTTGGGCATTTTGGGCTCGGATAAAAAAGAAAAAAGAAAGGAACAAAAGGTAATGTGCAGCACGAGAATTAAAACCTCCTATTCTCTTCATGAGTAACACAATGAGAAAAAAAAGGCTTTGTAACAGTTATGGCCAAAAGAAACCTAAATTTAATAAAAGAAGGGACCCAGGGCCGTAATTTTGCACGTTTAAAAATTGCATGCTTCAAAATTTACAATGCAAAGTTCATAGGGAATAGGTTTCCTGGTGAAATGCGCTCCTTAAAGAAGTAAAGAATAAAGCCTATACACAAACGAAGAATAAAAGGCTTCTATTTCCAAAATATTTTGATAATAGAAGCTTCAATGTATGCCTTTGAAATGTTGCGGCTTAATGAGAGGCACAGAAAAGAAAAATATTTGTTGGACGAAACTGCATTTTACTTAAAATATAGTTTTATTTGTGTTAAATTACAAATTACTAATTTGAAAATCTCAGCCACAATTTCCCCTGCATTTATGTTTTTATTATTACTATATTAATATATATACTAATACGCGAATCGTAATACACGTATGTGAAATTAAAATTGACCATATTTGATTATACTGATGAAGTTGAAAGAGAATGTTTCATTTAGTTCACACTGACCTTTGTGATCAGAAGGATTTTGTGTATTCTGTGTATTTTCATGTATACGAAAAAATAACGTTATTTAAAAAAAATGTCTTGTGTGTGTTATTTATTAATTAAAAGAGTTATATAGGTAAACTCGATAAGTCGTCCGACTTATCGAGAAATCCGACTTGTCGAAATATGCAAAAAAAAAAAAATTTTTTTTTTGAAAAATTGTTTAAACCGTTTATTTATTTATAAAAAATTAATAATAATTATAATAATTGAAAAAATAACTTTTGATAAAACAGAAGATAAAAACAAAAAAATGCGCTATTCTTTATCTAAATAAATATCCACACTAGTTTGTATTAAAATAATTATTTTGTTTTCTGTCAATTTTCCATTTTAAATCTTTTAATCCTGAAACAAATAAACTATTTACTTGTATATCATTATTTCGTTGAAAGTATTATTATTCACAAAAGATAAATTTATATATGATTGATAATAAATATACAACAATAAAAATATATTATTCACGAAACATATTTAAATTATTCTACATTACTAAAAACAGTAAAGATGATCTCTCAAACATTTACAAAAATCACGTGAACCGACTTATCGAGAGTCATTTGTTATTATCTGGCTGGAGGAGTTGTCCGACTTACAGCTTAACGTGAGTTTTATATGTGTGTCCGACTTATCAAGAGATTTTTAAATATAAAAAAAAATTGCTGGAAATTTTTATCATATCCGAGTTTGCCTATGTATTTTAGTGATGGAATATAAAAAAAAAACCAAATTATTCATCAAAATCATAAACATTCCAATATTCATTCTCAATTTACATCTCCCAAATTATATTATGATTTGTGGCTTTGGATCCTTTATGGTTTCATCTGACCATAATACATTTAAGCACACCTGATTTGCTTTGGTATTCCAGCATTTAAATGTGGGTGTGGGAAGAAAATTTTTTTGTAAAGAATTCTATTATGTTATATAACATTCACATCTCTAGTTATTTTTTTTGATGAACTATCTACGCCACAGCGCCAATTATCTTAAAATGGAATGTTTATTTTGTATGTGATACATATAGGAATTTGTTTGCGCACATATCAAAAAATTGAATTATAAAGGCCTTTATTTGGTATCCATTTTGGATCTCAAGATCAATAACAAAACCGATTGTCACTTCCCCCATATAATATGTTATATAAAGTAACAAAATGTTGAGAGTGCCACCTGAACTTTTAATACCAATATTCAAATACATAAAGGATGATGGTTACAAAAACATTATATTCTTGCATTCTTGTTAATAGACAATGGCATCATAACAATATTTCAACTTTATGGGAAAATCCATTTTATTCTGCTGATAGTATCAAAATATTAATTAATTGTTTGTTAGTAAAAGACAAAAAAATTTTAACAAACAGCAACATTGAATCGAAAAATTTTAAATTACTTGAAAAACCACCATTATACAATTATGCAAATTTTGCAACTGTTACCAGAATTAGGATTTAACGCTAATTTGTTAGTCGAAATACCCTAATTCCGAAACAAATCTATTTTTATATCTACATTTATTTATTCCTTATATTTTATTTCTTATTTTATTTTATTATTTTATTTGTATATATTACATTTTTATTTTTAATTATTTGCTCGTGTTTTTTTTTAGATGAATTTCTCATCTTTTTTGTAACCTTTTGTAGTTTGTTTTTTTCCTTGGTAATGCTATTGGCTAAATATAATTCTTGTTTTAGTTATTGAATTCCTTGGGCTTGTTGATTTATTTCCTGATTTCTAATTTTTCGGCTAATTAATTGTCTTTCTCTTCATCCAAGTGTATTTCATTAACTTGCCTGGCATTCTCAGCTCGTTGCTTTCAGTGTTCAATAATATTTTAATTGAGTCACTTTTTTCTCATTTTTCTTTCTTGATTAATTCTTCATATCAGTTGGGAAAATAAAGAAATGAAGGCAGGTAACAAAGGAGAAATTAATAATGCAACAATGACAAAGTAATATAAATTGCAGATTAACTAAAGAAATAGTTGGTTGCTTTTTTCTCATGTTTAAATTATATATTTTGTTGAATAAGATAGATAACCATCATTTATCTTTTTTTATTTGTTGTTTAATCCTTTCCTTGTGCATGAATAATACTTTTGTCCCCACTATTGATTGTATCATTTCTATCATTGCAATGTTCATGATGGTTATGCAATATATTCAATGTATTCAATATATGATTCGTAAGGATACCGGCTGCAACTTTTGATGTGGTTGCTACCACCTTTGCGTCATATAAAAATGATTGTTGCAACCGCCTTTACGACCATTTTGTTCCCTTTTTTGGATTGCGACACGGAACGCTAATGATTCGTTAACATCTCTCACCTTTTTTTTTTGGTATTATTGCCCGCTTATATATTATAATCTATCCAATCACGTTATAATAAAAATAAATGCAAAAGAAAATTTTAAAAAAAATGGATACAAAAGGAACAATCTATTTGTTAAAAGACACTAGACCAAATAAATGAAATGTATTTCACTATCCAAGTTTAGCAATAATAACAATTTTTTGTTTTAAACATGTGTTCCCTTTCATAAGATAGTAAAATGTTATATCATCATATAGTTCTTCAAATGCCATTTTATGAAATCGTCAGAGGATATTTTCCCGAATCTTATCAATGGAGAAACATCTTTAATGTGATTTTCAACTCCTTGAAATCATTATCACTACATTCTGATATATTTTTTTCTTCCGAATTTTCCGATTGAACTATTCTCCCATTGAATCACAAAGTTCCCCCAATCTCTTTTAACCCAAGATCATCTCTTTCCAATATGGACATTAGTATCGATTTTCATGATTATAATATCATCAGATTTTAAGTATTATTCGGCAATCAATTCTTTGCAAAATTTTGGAATAGTCTGGATAATTGATGGATTGGATTGAGATTTTGGTAAATCCATTCTTTTTTTCAATTAAAATTTTTTACTCATTTCTATTCCATGAGCTTGTCATGTGTTCATATATTTCCGAATTCTCAAATAATAAATTGATCGGCTGATGAATTAACAATTCATCACATGCTATCAGCAATTAAATATTTTTTCTCAAATAAATATTTGCCATCAGATCTTCTAATTGATCCACTTAATAAAGCTAGCGAAAATGTCATTTTACACGAAAATCTGGTTCAACTAAGGTTTTTGATCGAAACTACCTCTCTTAGTATTAGTAGCTGAAATTACTGAAATACCTTGGATAAAATTAATTTTATATAGGCCCAACTATTTTATTAATAGCCAAAATTATTTTTAAATTATTTAAACCGAAATAGGTTGGTTATTATGTTCATAATTCTTATAAAAAATCTTGAGAAGCCCAAACTATTGCCAAGGCTACTTTTTTTCGGAAATAGTTTGGACCAGAAACCTTAGCTTCAACCTCGACAGGATTTGAACATCCCAGGCCAATTGAATCTTGTTATCTCCCAAGATCAAATTATTGTAAAATATATCATAAGCAATTGCGGCGTCATTTATGTTTTTAAATTATGCTAAAAATCGAAACGAACATTCGTGAATGAATATTCTATTAAAAAAAACTAACACTAATAATCTCCCCTTTCTTTATATAGATTCATTAAAAATTTGAGTTATATCATTCTTATGAAATCCACAAAGCAAAGTTGTTTATATGAAGTCTTGAATTTCTTTTATTTTGACTTTAATGATCGTTCCGGGTTTTTTTTTCATTGGAATACAATGTTATACTGGAATTCGGGATTCAGCCAATGAAATTTATTTATAATAGGTAAGCATAAATATAGATTAATCATAATGATAATAAAATCAAAAGCTTCTAGAAAATTATCATGATCATAATTATAATAATGAAAATGATAATGAAAATAACAATATTGATGAAAATGAAATTAGTTATGATAGCAAAATTGAAGGAAGATAATGAAAGCGAATAGTTGAAGATAACGATACTGAAATTAGCGATAAAGAGGGTGTTTGATGATGTTTAATCAATATATTACTCCTAATAATGCGTCTTTCACCAATTATGTTATTAATATTAATAATTATAACAGCAATAATAATGGAAATAATCATGATATCATGGATCAAAGGATTTGTTTGCATAGTTCCAGGCTGTGGTAAGTCAAGAAAATTATTTGTGCGGCATTATAAAAAAGAAATTTTGATGCATAAATGTTTAGATCTTAAATCTAATTTACTACGACATATATGCAAGGTTTCATTTTTGGAATAAAAGATTTTAGGTGTGAGTAAATATCCGGGATGTGGTAAAGCATTTGTTATCAAATCTAATTTACTACGATCTATTCATCTTGGAATAAAAGATTTTAGGTGTAAATATCCAGAATGTATCAAAAGATTTGCTGTTTAAAATATCCGCAAAATCTGTTCATCTAAGAATAAAGATTCAAGTGTGAATTCCCAGGATGTAACAAATCATTCTGTGCTAAAAGTAATTTATTACGACATACAAAATTTCATCTTGGATTAAATTTTGACATAAGTGGATAGTAAAAAGATTTATCACCAAATCTAATCTTGACCGACGTAAACCTAGAATTCATAAAAAATAATGTCTTTTTTAAAAATGATTCTATAGTGTCAAATATTCAATTGATTCAAATCTTTTAAATCTTTTAAATCTTTTAATTAACAGCATCATTGTTATTACACATTGTAATTAGAAATGCAAAGTTTTAAAATAAAAAAAGCCCCATATTTTACTGTGGTGTTTGATGGCTATTGATCATCAATATAACAAATTATTATATGCATATATTTCAACACATTGTAAAAGTTGACAACAAAATTCAACTAACAATATATTTTTTGAAAACATGAATTATAAAAAGAAATTCTATTGATTTATCAGTTACAATGTAAATTTTCATGATAAAATTTAATAATAAATTGAATAACTTTAAGCCATAATAACTTTTTTTTTTTTCATAATAAAATTAAACAAAACTTTTTATAATTTTATTGTTTAAGTCTTCTATAATAAAGTTACTGAGAGCCTTTTCCACTATCTCATTTGGTTATAAAGTTTTTCTATTAGCAATCTTTTTTTCAATTTCTTTAGAATATATAAAAAAATTCTCTGTAATATAAAAGCTTAATCTATTTATTATAATTTCCCTTAGTTTCATGTCTGTATCTCTTTATTTGAAGGCTCTGATACAATTTTTATTTTTGTTATTGATCGGCATTATGTTACCCCAATATTTTACGCTAATGATGGTTTTTCCTTAATAACGTATGCACCATAAAAATCCAAAACACTAGTATCAAATTAAGGCATTAAAAATTTTGAAAGCATTTTCAAAAAGTAATAATGGTAAAATGAATTATTAATGCTACATTATAATGATAATAAGAAGTATTATTATTATCAAATAAACAAATATTACGATTGGTATTAATTATTCGAGACTTTCTCGCTCGTACAACCAGTTCTTGAACTAGTAATAGCTTCTTATCTTGTACATCACCAACAGCAAAAATATCCTCCACACTTGTAATAAATATAACCACCTTCATCCAATTCTAATCGACTATTGGCCACTGTATTGCTAGTACATGGCCAATTGCATAATCATTCGATAATCCTTCTTCGCATGCTTTAAATCTTTCATAATCAACAATTTTCGTAATTTCCCATTATTATTCTTTTATATCCTATTAGAATAGTATTATAATCTTTTGATTTCACATTAATCTGTTGGGTGTAACTCTTGATTCGGAGAGTTTATCTCTATGAATAAGTACATATACTTGTGATCGCATATTTAATAAGAGATATTGCTTCTGCTGCAGCTGAATTCTACCACCAAACTACAGCAAGCGGTTTGTCGATAACGCACATTTTTCATAATAAAAATCGGTAAGTAAATTGTCTATTTATGTTAATTGCATAGAAAATCCTTTTTGCCGAAAAATTTCTTCTGGTAAATTTAATTTTTTACAAAAGCACCAGTTGTAATAACAAGTAAATCGAAACAATTTATATAGAAACTTGACGACTCCAAATATTGTGGGAATGATTATTTGATACTACTTTGAAATTGGATTAGATTGATTGGATTAACACTAATACATTTATTATTATATGTAAAAGATCTAGCCAATAATAAACTACATTCTTGAAAATCCTAAATTAATGGGAAAATCTTATTTACACAAAAAATATATCATAAAAAGAAATTAATTAAACTTCAAAAAGATCTGATAATAGATGATAAATAATCTTTGGTGGGCATTTTTGCTGATCAATCATCTTCATCAGCATAGTTATAAATAAGGAACAAACATTCTTTTTCAAAAAAAAAAAAATTTTTTTTGTTAATTGGATAATTTACTCTTTATTCTTTTACCCTTATTAATTTTTTTTACGATAAAAATGGGGATTAAAGCTGTTGCAGTTCTTAAAGGTGATAACCCTAGCATCACTGCTGGTGGTACTGTTACCTTCGAACAGGAAAGCGCAGATAAGGACGTTTTTATTAAAATTGACCTTAAAAATTTAAAACCTGGAAATCACGGTTTTCATATTCAGTAAGTTAATAATAATGGTTCTTTGTTTTATTTTAATTTTTCACTAATTAACTTTTTTTTAGTGAATATGGTGATAACACCAATGGATGTACGTCAGCAGGTGGACATTATAATCCTGATGAGAAACTTCATGGTGCACGTCAAGATATTAAAAATCGTCATGTAGGTGACTTGGGTAATGTTCTAGTTGGTCCTGATGGCACTGTTAAAGACTCATTTTCAGATGAACTAATTAAATTAATTGGCGAACGCTCAGTAATCGGGTATTTAAATTTATCTATTTATAAATTTGTATCATTTTTTCTTCCTTTTTTTTCTCTCATGCACCTACATTCTCTTCCTTTAATTAATATAGACGTACTGTAGTTGTTCACGCTGATCCAGATGATCTTGGTAAAGGTGGTGTTGAGCTTTCACTTACAACTGGTAATGCAGGTGCTCGTCTTGCTTGTGGTGTTATTGGTAATTAATATTTTTTATTGATTTAGTACATAATTATGATTTTTTATTGTTGTTTTTTTCCTCCAACAACTAATTTCTTTCTCTCTTATTATAACAAATATTTATAGGAATCACTAAATAAATTTATTATCATGAATTAAAATTTACAGAAATGGATTATGATTTTTTTTATGATTATTTGTTAATGGTATTTTTTTTACTTGCTCATTATCAATAAATAATTAAAATTGAAAACAATGGACATTGTTGCAGACGATATTCAAAATTTTATGCCGTGTAACGATTCGTGTTCAAGTATTTGGCTTACAACTTAACAATTTTTGAAAAAGAAAAAAATTTGATTCAAAAAAATAATATTATATCGAAAAATTTATTAAAATTATGTCAATGGATTCATATACAAAGCTACGTGGTTAAATAAGAAATTCAAGCATGGTTCTCGGAAGAATTTTCAGTCTTTAATTATTTGTCGTTGAAATTAGGTATTTTTAGTTTAAAAATTATGTTAAATTTTATTATCATGTTCTGATAATTAAAATCTATCTAAGGGACCCAATTCAATATATTGAAGATGAAAGGGAGCCTTCAAAATTATTTGTCAAAATAACAAAGATTTGAAATTCTTTATTTTATTTGTATTATAAGTGGTTTAAAAATATTCACTTCCAAAAAATCATCTATTGCTGATTTGGAATTAATTATATATCGAAATCAAATAAAAATGATATTCTGCCATGTTTAACTCCTGAAGTGTTAAATGACATTAGGTATATATATCTTTGGGTATTATCTCTACAGGCTAATAATTTAGCATTTGGTCCAGAAAATATATGAAAGAGCCACTTATACTAGTAGATTTAAATCAGTAAATCATCGAAATTACCTTCTTATTATTGATAAACGATCATTATGTCCGAATTGTTTAATCAAATGATAATAATAATGGTTATTAATACTAATACCGAAATATTTTGGAAACAATTTCGGCTAACATTATGATAATATTTTATTATAAATATTATAAAGATAATATTTTGAAATATAAAAATCAGATAACAAATTGTTACACAAACATATAAAATAATAATGTCCAAAGAGAATGAACAAAATTCTGAACTTGGAAAAAAAGAATAGTACGTATATATAGAATTAGAATTAGGCAAGATGATTAATCCAATATCAATAATAAATAGTAATTTGCTGACTTCTTGTTAATATTTTAGTTGGGATTTATTATATAAACGTGAAAATAAAAATTTTCAAGAATTTGGTGATATTGGAGAGATTTGGTAATCTTTAATAATAATAATAGTAACTATCGCCATCATCTAAACAAACAAATTTATCAATATCTTTTGAAAAAAAGGTTCGGTCAAGATAGTGTAGAAAAAATGGTGAATTGGGTAAATTAATTGATACATTTATTTAATAATATATATTTATAGATTTTTCACAGATTTTATTTATTTTTTGCAGGTTATTTCTAATTCTTCCAAATCAACATCAATATTAGATATAGGATGTGGAAATGGTCATCTTTTATTAGAGTTAGCAAAAAATCATCAATACACAAATCTGGTTGGAATAGATTATTCATCTGATGCTATTGAATTAGCAAAAAATATAGCAAAAGATCAAGATTTTGACCATATAATTTCATATTATGTTTATGATTTTATTGAAAATAATGATGATAATGAAATTGGAAAATCTATTTTTTATCAAAATTATTTAAGCAATAAATCAACAAATCAGCAACAAAAATTTGATATTATATTGGATAAAGGGACATTTGATGCAATCACTTTAAAAGATCCAGCTTTTTATAAAGTTTATTCACAAAATGTTTTCAATCTATTAAATCATAGACATAATGACAATGTATATTTCCTAATAACAAGTTGTAATTGGACAAATGATGAATTAATTGAAAATTTTAAAGATGGTATGTGGTATTATATATATGAGTGTGTGTATGTGTATGCGTGTTATTTACATTATATATGTTTTATATTTATGTCACAATATATCACGAATTTGTAGAATTTGAATATTATGATCATGTGAAATATCCAACATTTACTTTTGGTGGAATATCAGGACAAAAGATTTCTACCGTTGCCTTTAAACCAAAGAGAAAATAAATAAATAAATAAAATAAATAAATAAATATTAATCAATACTCGTTAATTGTCACCGTCGATGAAATAAATTTTCTAATCAAAAAAATTTTTGTGGTCTAGAATTCATTCATATATAACTTTAAGTGAAATTTAGACTTTCCTTAAAAGTTTCCCCAACACAAAAAAAATATATTAATAAATATATACTAACACTAATAATAAAAATCCCATAAACTTCTAAATTAGAGAGAGAGAGTGGCGTGTTGTCATTTTAAAAAATCTACCAATATCTCTATATCCAATAAAGAATGATTCTTACGAACACAACGATTTATATATCATGCAGACAAGTGAACATAATCATTACCCGAAATATTAAACAACAATGTTTAATAACCATTGAATCAATTAATTCGTAAACCACATGAATATCAAAATTCGGGCAACAATTTTACATGAGATAAAAAAATTGTCGAAAAGTAATTGTAATAATAAATTTAGTTATGAGACACATAAATTTGTGTATGAAAATGTATGAAAAAAATATAGTGAAAATATAAAGATCAACAATATCTAATGTATAAATATACTTGTGAAAAAAACCCCTTTCTGCAACAAATTTTTTTCTTCATTTTTTTTTTAATTAATTATAAAAACTGTAATAATAATTTAAAAAATAAATGCTTAACAATATAATTTCAAGTATTTTTTCAATCAGTGTAATTGGTCTAGTATATTATTATATCTATCCATTATTCCCGGTTATCACTGCAATCATCGCAAGTTTATGGTTCAAATACCTTTATTTTGATAAAAAATCGGGTAAAGTTTCATTTAACTCATCATCATATTGTATTATAATGATGCAATGCAATGATAATAATACGGATCGGTTTTTTTTTATCATAGAAATTAAAAAAGTTTTAAATCCAAAGGAATGGAAAAATTTTGTTCTCATAAAAAAACTAATAATAAGCCATAATGTTGCCTTGTAAGAGTGAGAGATTTTATTTTTAAAATATGATTATGATAAAATTAATCATGACTAATAATTATTGGATTATTTCAAATATATAAACATAGATATAGATTTAAACTACCAAATCCAGATGATGTTCTTGGGCTTCCAATTGGTCAGGTAAACAATATAATCAACAGTTATTTAATAATAGACCTCTCATGGATTATGATTTAATAATAATTAATTAATAATTTTATAGCATATATCAGTAGAAGCTGATATTAATGGCAAGGTTCTTCAACGCAGTTACACGCCAACTAGTTCGGATGATGATCTCGGACACTTTGATCTAGTTATAAAGGTGCATGCACTAAATAATAAATATATAAGTGTTGGCGTGTGACATATTTGTACATATTTCTTACTGATCGATCAATAAATCAATCGATTATTTGTTTATTTAAATATAATTTAGTCATATCCAAATGGTAATGTTTCCAAGTATTTTGCTGAATTGGAGATCGGTCAAACTATATCAGTCAAAGGTCCCAAAGGCCAATTTAAATATACACCCGGATTAGTTAGAGCACTTGGAATGATTGCTGGTAACAATAAAATCAATAATTGAATGATATTGTTTTCATTAGGTTTTAAAATTTGATATTTTATATAATCTATAAATCAATTAATTTTATAATAATAAAACAGGCGGAACTGGAATAACACCAATGTTACAGGTGCTTAATCATGGCAATAATAACAATAATAATTTTAATTATTCATTTAATTAATTTATTTGTTTATTTACTTAGATTGTTCGAGCAATTGTTAAAAATCCAAATGATAAAACCACTGTTAATTTAATATTCGCAAATGTTACAATTGATGATATTTTATTAAAAGAAGAATTGGATTTACTTGCTAAAAATCATGAAAATTTTAATGTATTTTATACATTAGATAAAGTAAGTTTATCATTATTTTTATTTTTATTTTTCAATTTTTGCCGCCTAATTGACATAATGATTATATTTAGCCTCCAAATGATTGGAATGGTGGAAGAGGATTTATTACTCAAGATATGATTAAAAAATTTTGCCCACCTCCTGCAAATGATATTAAGATTTTATTATGTGGTCCACCACCAATGATAAGTGCTATGTCTAAAAATTGTGAAGCGTTGGGTTATGATAAGTCAAGAACTATTTCAAGATTAGAGGTAGATTACATATCTATATAATATATTTTTTGTATTATTTATTATTATTATTAATATTAACTATTTAATTTTTTTGTCAATCAATAGGATCAAGTTTTTAAATTTTAATAGTTTAATTATTAATTAATTGGTTAGCTATGATAATTTTTAATTTGTTTTTAGGATCTTTTAAATAAAATTTTTATTTATGGTTGGTAATTATAATACTCAAACTTTGAAAAATTGGTGAATTAGAATGCTTAATATTAACAAAGAATTATCAATACTATAATTTATCATATGTCAAGACGAGAAGATTTCTTTTATAGGAAAATGTGTTGTGAATATTAAGGTTTCAGATCCAAACTATTTTGAAAAAAACTAGCTTTGGCAATAGTTTGGGCTTCTCAATATTTTTTATAAGAATGAACACGAAAAAATTATATAAACTAACCTATTTTAATTTAAGTAATTTAAAAATAATTTCGCCCAATTTGGCTACTAATAAAAAATAGTTTGGGCCTATAAAAATTAATTTTTGCCCAGTGTTTTTGGCAATTTCGGCTACTAAGGGTAGTGAATATTACAAGGATTACTTCAAAAGGTCCAATTGTCTCTATTCCAGATTTATTTATTAAATTGTGAAATTAAATATAAATTCTAAAATAAAATTAAACCCTAAAATCCAAATTAAAAATAATATTTTAATAATCAAAACAAAAGGAA